CAACCGAGTGATTCTGTGATTCTGTGATCAGAGGTCATGGCCCACATATGACATTACAAATCACCTTCATCTCAGTGAAATTACTAACGTTACAGCAAAATTTATAGTAAGATTGCAAGGAAAACAGAAGACCTAATTTAGTCTAATATTTATCCTGGCATTAACATTTAAGCAGAGGTGAGGACAATGAGAAATTCTGCTTAGAAGTCAGTTCTACCATGTAGCTTACCTTATTTAACATGTTTACACCAATTCTGCTTGGAAAGTAAAACTTTAATTAGAAGCATTTACCTGTCAGCGATTAATTCTTGTCCTGTAAAATGGTTCATTGCAGATGGGCCATAATTCCAGATGATCTCTTCGGCAGCAATGAAGTACTCTCTTATCTTTGTACTCTCACTGTGATCTGGTGTGGATTTACTACAATCTTGCACTTTAAAAAGGGCTTGCATACCACCTGGAAAAAAATGAGGAGGTGGAGAAAACTAGGGGGAAGGCTCAAGTTGGGGCTTGCAGAAGTGCAGCTGTGACAACTACTAACAATTTCCATTACAGACAAGAATGTCCTTGATTTCTATGGCTACAAGCTCAAGGCCATCCAATACACACCTAGCCATTTCAGTTACTATCAAAGTTATGTTACCTAGAGGAGAATGTTGTCTGGCATACAAGCAGGCCAGGAGTACAGCCGAAGCCAGCTCAAGATAAAACAAATTCTGATGACTGGAACTTATTCTGTACCTTCGATATGGTCGTTCACTTGGCAGCTGAGCAGCCATTCCCCGGGACTCCTTGGGACCATGACAGCATCAATAAACGTTGCTGGGAAGAGGTTGATGGTGTCAACTCGATGATGCCTTTCTATTAAGGTCTGTCCATGGAAGTAGGCTGAATGGATATCAGCTTCATTACCCATGCCAAAAAGATGCCATTTCACCTTATCTTCCACACACATTGTGAGGTCTGGAAGGTATCCATACATGTACCCATTGATTGCTAAAAGAAAATTATTTATTACAGTTACCTGCACAGATCTTAGGATCTTTTCTTCAAAAGCAGGTATCATACAACCATTCATCTATTCTTCAAAACAGAAAAAGGCTCAAAACAAAACTGCACATTTGAAAGTGAGCCAATATCAGACACACACGTCATCTGCACAACCATCTCATGGCCAGCAGTTCCTGCCATGCTTCTGGGATCCATGTCTGAGCCAAAGGTGTCATCTTCGTTGACACTAACAGTAAAAACTGTTTTTCTAAACTATAAGTGCAGAGTTCAGGACAAAGAAACAGAACAAGGTATCACAGCTCTGTTTAGAGCACCTGGGAAGATATAGTGGTAAAGAGGTTCTTGGCCCCCAAGAATTTTATATCGCAACTTCAAACATTTGATTGTACAATACTTGCCATCACTTTTTAATTTTTTTTAAAAGGATCTTTCTTAATCCTCCAATAAAAAGCTCCGCTTAAAAAAAAATCTGCACTTCATCTTTAAAAGAGACAACACAAAAATACTACTTCACACATTGATGACAAACAATGTTAATATAGTGCTCTCTCACAGTGCATTTTATTGCTTTCCTGGAAGTCCTCATTGTCTTTGTCAACTTCGGAAGGCTCAGAACAGTATGTCCGGATATTATCGTCTAGATACCAACTGAGATTTTCATCCATCACAGAAAACATAAGGATAAATTCAGCATCAAAGTGTTTATCACTGCTCTTATTCATTGTACCTGAAAAAGAAAGCAGTATATTCAAAGTCTTTGGCAACTGGCATCATCTTTTCATCAGTTTTGAGTGTATCAGCAGGGCTGGTCACTGTTGAATTCAAATTTTGCCACTTTTCTTAAGTGTGAGTGTACACATAAACTTACAGATACGCTCAGAAAACAAAAATTGTTTTTAACAGATACTATAAAATAATTTAACTAAGAATAAATACTGCATGTGATAAGGTTACAGTAAACCTGTATCTCATATTAGTATATACACATCCTTCTGGATTACTAGCATGAACAGATCCCACTCATGGTGGACAAAGTATTCTGCAAATTATATTTGCTGTCACACACAAAATCAATCTACTTTCTACACTACTGAAAGGCAGGTGAGAAGGCAAAAAGCTGCTATTTCAAAATTAACTGTAATCTTCTCCTCTTCCAGGAAATTATTTCACTGAGATTTATCAATAGCGGTTATCAATCACCTTGCATATTCATTTATTTAGTTGTTTATCTACTGCTTACCTTTCCTGCAAATTATTAAAGGCCCAACGAGTCCTGAGGCAACATCTCTTGGAGCATCTACATGGGAGTGGTAGACCCTGGTTATGCAGTCAGCATCTCCTGCAGCGGGACCGTGGTCTTCTGTCACGTTCCATTTGTACGTGTACTGGGCTCCAGGCTCCACTGCATCGTCTTTCTTTTGCACATCTTTGGTGTTGTCGGGATAAAAAGCACCTGAAGAACAGCAGGTGGCCACCATTAACACAGCACAGCCACAGCGTGGGTCAGGACAGCACCTGCTGTGCTTTGAAGCTGGCTACATGCTGCAGCAACATGGACTGAACATCTGAGTACAGGCAAAATAACATCTTTAAAATTAGGTGAGTAGATATTTTCCTTCTCTTTAAGAGTCTCTTGATTAGTCTTGGAAGTCCATGGGAGTGCTTCAATTAATGACACATTAAATTTAGTCCTTAATTTATTAGGAGGACACTGTACTTCTGCTGAAAAGATAACAATTCAAATATTTGTAAAACATTTGTTAAATATTAATCTTGGAAACTGTTCTAACATGTTGCATATGTCCTCAAGGAATATAGGTGTTGCTGAGATGAGAGCAACAGGAAAAAAATTAAACACTGTTCCAAAAAGTGCGTGTACTGCTACATAACACACTGTTCTGTGCCACAGAATGTGTCTGAATCAAGCCACATGTTAGTTGTGATGAAAGACTTCAAAACTTCTAGAAGTTAAGCTGATGTTTCATAAATTCTTCTAATGAAATCATTTTCAAGGCTGCTTTTGAGACAACATCTTATTCTCAACAATTCACACGCTGTTTTTAAGGCCCACTAATAAAACTGTCAACAACTGCACTCTGGTGCCGTCTGGTGCAGAAAGTCCCTCATCGCCTGAGCAAGGGCAAATCATCAGTAATCCCAGTAGCACCGCTACAATACCCCTTAACGTGTCTCAGACTTTTATCTCATTAATTTGTTACTAAGCAGTAGCTGTTTCTCCATTTCAAGAAATTCTTGTGTATCTTGTATACAGTATATACAAATACAGCATTAAGAGTTTGGAACTGAAAGTTAGCGCTGTTAACAATATATGCTTCACAACAGCATCATTTTTTCCTTCACATATCCTCAATATCTGCATCTCTTATACACTTTTATACCCTCATTTCAGGTGAAATGTTAATCTAAAATCACCTTCTTTATGAATTCCACTTTTGGCTTTGTATTTCGCTCTTGAAAATTATCAAACTTCTTAGCTCCTATTTTAAACTGATTGTGTCCCATTTTAAATCGGTTGTGTCCTTTTCAAATCTTCATTTCTTTGACCAGTCTTCCCTTTGATGACAGAATACCACTTACATTCAGAGGAATGATGAGCTTTGGATAAATTCTGGTGCAGGACGGACTCAAGCTTACCTTCATTTTCTTTTGTGTATGTTACGCCATGCGGATGCAGCGTGTAGCTTCTGGAAGCAAAGTTTTTCAAGTGAATAATAATGGAATCTCCAACTTCTCCCTTAATGATAGGGCCTAAAAGGCCCAGCCAAGAAGGTTTGTCAACTCTCACATTGTATAAATGGTTGGTGTACTGGGTGTAGACAGCCTTCTTGTAAGTGCTTCCTATCCTCTGTGGTCCACTGTTGAGAAAGACTCCAGCCTGCCTGCAAAGAACATACACAAACACACCTGTAGCATCAGATACTCCTTCTATATTTGAATGGTGTTAATTAGCAGGGTCTCAAATGAAGATCAGGTCTCCACAGCACTGTGCACAACCGTATCTGTGTTTAGGAGCAAATATATCTCTCATTGTATAGAGTTAGGCACCCATACAAAGATTAAGTAGTATGCACCAACTTGAATTTTTAATACCTATTTTGTAGACAGAAGATAAGGGTATTTGATACAATTTCAGGTAAATTTGAGACTATATGGCCAAAGCAAATAATAATTTTTATTGCTTGAAACTTTTGTACTTTCATGCTTAAATTGCTGCATAATTTTCCATGGCCTGTTAAAAATAAGAATTTCCATTGTCACGCTATTATGTTGACTGCATAGTCCTTGCTCCATTACAATGAGAAGCAGACTTTCCAGCTGTAAAATACATGTAAGATGTCTGGACATCACAAAACTACAGGGTGCTGCTAACGCCCAGTGTGTGCATGGGGGACCGGTGCAGAGTGTGAGAGCCTGCTCACCAATCACAGATGAAGGAGCTTGATATGGATTGACCCTAATAAAGTCTCATTTTTACAGATTCAGCACAAGAATATACAAACAGGTTACATGAGAGCAAGGAATTAGCAGTGACCTCCTCAGTCACTAAGTTAAGAACTCCTGGACCATTGCTCCTCTCAGTTAATGAAACTCACATATATAAAATGAGAACTTGGTTAGTGAGGAAACAGCCTAACTCACAGCTAAACAGAGACAGATGGAGATGGCGTGTGCCACTGGTGATACCAACACCCTTGAACCGTGCAGCCACTGTGGATGTGCTGCCCAAGTACCGCCAGCTGCCGGCGAGGGGTCACCACGTGCCTCTGGCAGTTCCCGTGTCAGGAGCACTGGCTGTGGAGGCAAACCTCTACAGGAGGAGACAACCCCAGCAGACAGGGCAACACGGCCTCCTGGTTCCCCGTCATACACAGCGAGGAACCAAGCCAGGCTGGTTTCACAGGCCCAGCAGGCCATATTGTGACGCAAGTTAAAAACGGCCCAGAAATGCCAAGTACTTCCCACAAGGATGAGAATTGTTCAAGCATGGGGGGAAGGAATTGCTTGTACCTTGGCAGGCACAGATCTGAAATGTAATTAAAATGCCAGCACAGAGCTCCATGAAACTTGGAAAGCATAAACTTAGTTGCAAAGGTTCAGTTTTGGGAAGTCTGAGTGCATGAAGCTTTTTAGCCACAAATTAAATCAAACAAATATGTTATGGCTCTTCTTGGACTGTTTAAGCAGCTACCATTTAATGGTAGAGTATTCCTTCTAGCAGGCACACTGCACTCTTCCCTGCTTCTATGAATACAAATCTCTGTACAAGCACAGCCTCATCACTGAAGGGTTCAGGAGGAGAAGAATTGGAGAAGCTGAAAATGAAAACTATGATAAAAGAAACCAGCTCGACTGCAGGCATACAACCACTGAAAAACTGGAATTAATTCAGCATGCTGTGGGCTGTCACGCAGCAGAGAAAAGCAGTGAAAGTGCAGTGAGCAGTGGTGATTTGTTGTATTACAAGGCTCTGCAGTTTTCAGACAGATGTAACTTACATGTCCCAATGCTTTCAATTAGCAGAGCACTGGAATGCAATTCTCAAGCAAACTAGGAAAAGTCAAGATTCCCGTACAGGTCTGACAGAAAATCCACTGACACCAACACAATTCATTTCACTGTGTTCGTCAGGTTTCCAGCCTGGTCCCAGTGTCTAAAGCAAACAGTGCTGTAAAATCCAGTTCAACCAGTGTAAACTGTTCTACTTACTCTTCTTCTGCAAAGAGCTGTCCAGAGATGATGTCGGTGCTGCCCGGCGCGTAGTTCCACGCTGCCTCTGTAATGCCGATGTAGTACTCCCTGCTCACTGCCCCGACTCGGCTACAGCAACAAACCAGCGCACAGGTTAGGAAGATCAGCTTCATTCTGCACTCACAGACCTTGTGGAAAATGTGAAACAGAAACACAGGATGGGCACACGCGGTTCCCCTTTATCCCTTCTTGTGTCTCTCACCCCTCGGCCACCTCACCTCCCCCTCCCGCTCTTGTTTGCTTTGGTGAACACAAGAAATCGTTGCACAATGTCTCTGTGCCAAGAGTAAACAAAGGATTCTGGTAACCTCGTCAGTTCAGATAATCTTCAAAGAAATTCTTTCAGTTTCTGCCAACCAACCATGCAAATTACCATGTAGACTGTTATCGGATTGTAAATCTTGTAGCGGAATTGAAAGTAGGTAGATTTAAATGGATTTACGGGCTTAAGCTTAATTACATTCTTCACTGTCATTATCACTCTCTCTAGAGCTTATATACAACTGAGAAAATACAAGAATATAACTTCCCAAGTGCTCAGTAAAAGCTGGAAATAGCACCATTTTTCCCTGGTGTCTCTGCTCCTTCATGGACACAACCCAGTGCAAGGCAGCCCTGCGGTGCAGGTCTCTGTGGTGCAGGTCCCTGCCCTGTGGTGTGGGTCCCTGCAGTGCGGGTCCCTGTGGTGCAGGTCCCTGTGGAGTGGGCTTTCTGCTGCCCATGGACCCTGCCTGTTCCCAGTCAAGGGATTGTTGCTGCTTCCCCCCGCATGGCCATGGCCAGGCTGGTGCAAGGCGGTTAAGGGGGGCTGGGGTCGCTGATGTCGGAGCTCACACACTGATCACACCTGGGTCAGTGTCACTAACCCACCACAGCTCCCTGGGAAGTGTAATTTTAGCACAAAGTGTGCCATATACAGCTGGAGACAAAAAGGACCAGCTGTCCATGGGTGGAGGGGCAGATGTCCACATCTCATTGCCAGGCAGTTTCAATATTGCCCAAATGTAAATGAGGCCCAGAAATGCCCCCAAACGAACCCCTGTGTTCTTCTCCTACCACTAAACAGGATAGGCCACATTCCTCAATAGTTAAAAGCCCAGTAGATGCATGGAGCTCCAGGTAATCTTAACTGTCACCATTATCTAATCTACCCACTGCAGAAGGATGTATTTCTGCTTTGTGCAAGTTCTGTAAGCTTCTTGTGTCTGTTAGTCTCATTGGGAAATAAGAGCAAAAGTGGACCTTAAACATAGGCTGTTCAACAAACACCTCACTAAAGTCTGCAATTGCATTTTTTTTCAAGCAGAAGCCCATTACAACATGGTTGTGTCTGAAGCTTTAGACATACAAAGCCACCAGTAAACTTGCAAATTGTAAAGACTTCTATTGAAAAAATATGTATCTTCTGTTAACTAAAAAATCTCTTCTGCACTCTGAGAACTGACACTGTCATTCTAAATGACATTTTTCATTGTATGGCAACTTAAAAAACATCTGTAATAACCACAATCTTCTTTGAAGCTATTTTCTTCAGGGTCAGAAAAAATATTATTAATTTAGATAGAAGACTAAGATTCAGAACATAACTAAATTATGACAGGTTTCCTTTAACAACACACAGATCTAGACCTTATTTTTACCAGGATTGTGGTATACAGACAAATTACCAATTTTAATCACTAGTCATATGAAAAATTCCAGGCATTGTCAGGATATTAAAGTTCATAATCTCACCTTTTGGAACCTTCTACACATCTGCATCAAATGGAGGATCTTGCTTCTGTCTAAATGACTGTGACCAAAGCCAAGTTTTCGAAATCTGACAAAACCTATGATGAAATTCTGGACTTTCCCAGGTTGGCATCACATGCTCAAAATTATTTCTGCAGGGATTATTTTTGTTTCCTTTGCCATGGATGAAGGTCAGTGGTTCAGTGGAAAGATCAGCTTGTACAGGTTGCATATGCTCTACTCTGTAAATTAACCGAGACAAAAAATGAGAAAACTATTACCTCCTCTTATACTACTTAAATTCAAAGCTATTTCTTAATACTCAGCTAACAGAGTTGTTCATGTATGTATATGTTTATTTTTGTTCAAATTTTAATTGGACTGAGGAAGGGCAAAAAAACCAAGCAATATCCTTGAAATCCCTACATTTATCTGAGGGTAAAAACATGAGCATTTCTTTGCTTTGGTCCCTTGACTCCTCTAAATTATGCTTCCTTGATTTGCAGAAGAACTGCATGTTGTTTTTATTTAAAGATAAAAGAAAAACCCCTGACAGGCAAGATCTTTCCATTATTACTTTTAATTGCATCTCACCCAAACTTTGAGATATTCATGTGCCTGAGCACACTCCTGCTATCTCCCTTTTAACTCAAAAAACTGACAGGTGACTGAGCTTCTCAAGCCTGTGGTAGTGTTGGTGGTGATGTTAGTGGTGTTGGTGTTGTTATCTTCAGAGGGTGTCTGAAGAGCAGGAACCTCTCTCCTTTGTTAGACAGAGCCTAAAAAAGACTGAGCACCTAATTTCACTGGATAAAGTATGAGTCTGCAGTTTGGTGTCATGAATATCCGCTTACTGTTTTAAACCACAGTATCTCATTTCTCATACTGAGGATGCTGAAATGCTCTGACTGTTCCGAAAGCCTCAAAATTGAAAACATAAAGCTGATCTTCTACTTTAAAAAAAATCCTTGATGAGAAAAAAAAACAACACAAAACTTGAATATTTGACAAAAAAGTTTCAACAGAGGTTTTCAGGGAGTTTGAACCAAAACCCCACAATTTCACAATTCCCAAACCCGAATTACATGTTTACAGTCTGCTGCCCATGCTGCTACACCGACCTTCTGCAGACCTGTGCAGTAAATACCCTTTAAAGGGTCCTCTGCCACCTTATTCCTTTTCAACATGGAAAAACCCCCAAAACCATCCAACACGTGAAGAATTAGCAATCAGGAAATCATACTTCAGCGAGACTCACTTTTACATACACAAGCAATATAATGCGCCCCAAAATGCAAGCATGAATGGGGCTCCACAGTATTTTACTACAAATCTCTGCCCACAGTTATTTGTGCTCAAAACAGAGTCTCTACAGCTGTTTCCAGTTTAGTGTTTTAAAGGAAGGACATTCCTGTCCCAGACACAGCATCACAGCACCAGCAAAACGCACTGGCCATGAAGAACAGATACTGCAGGAACTTCTACTACCAGATTTCAGCATTAGCTCCTCTCTTACAGAAATTTATGAACTCAGACCTGCAGCTTTCCTCCAGGCGTACCCAGGGTATTTTACATGCGGGTTTCACAGCAGCACGCGGTTCAGGAGCACTCCTTCACGAAGGGCTCTGGTTCACCAGCACGGGGCGAGCTCTGTCCTGGCTCTGTGGCTCTCTCCTCTCTGCCGCTGTGGGGCAAGGCCTGCGCCCTGCACTGGTGGACAGCCAGGCCTCAGACACCCCCGCCAGCCACCGGCTGCGCCCACAGCACAAGTCAGTTCATGTTCCTGACAGGAGCCTTGGCTTTGCTGTCAGGCATCGGTCACGGCACCTCTTGTTAGAGACAACATATTTAGGATTGAACCAGGGCTTAAATTGATTAGATAAAGTTCAACTTTGCCTTACAGTCAAAAGCCCTGTGTGAAACAAGTTGTTAAATTTGTAAACAGAAATCACTGTTAGCCTTTGGTATTCTTACTACCAATTTCAAATTAATAAACTGCCAATTTAAAAGCTGAGCCATTAAGTCACAGTTGAGTCTGGCTATGGTAATGGAGATGCCAATATCTGGATTATGGATAAAGACAGCTGCAGAACCAATACATCCAACAAGAACTAAATTACACATCTCTCTCTTTGACTTAAACCACTAAAATAGGACACACCAGCCTGTGGTAGAGTGGAAATGTAAATTCACAAGACACAATCTCAAAAAAAAGGGATTAATTAAGGACAGCCAAGCCTTGCCAGTGGTTGGGTGCAGCCACTAATAAAATTGCTACAGAAAAAGCTGTCAGACTGGGTACTGCCCTTTGTGTCTCCTGTTTGCCAAGCGTGAGACTTTCCATGATCAGGGACAGACGTTATTGAAAAGTGGAAAGGACACACAGAGGAGCAAGTAAAGGGTTAAGAGTTCCCATGTGTAACTTTAAGGTATCCATTGCTCTTATCCAGCACAGCAAAACCCATCTCAGCAGACTCTGCTTGCCTAAAGAGTAGCCTGGATCTTCCCCATGGCTGAGCTGGAGCCTGACACAGTACCCTGCTGGTTTGCTTTCCTCAGTGAAACGGCTCCATTCACTTCAGGAATACGTCACTGTCCTGGTTTGAGCTAAATAGAACTAATTTTCTATGTAGTGATTTTACTTTTCAGCTCAGTCTCTTCTAAGTGGCTGAACTTGCTGAAACTAAAGGCATTGTTTTCCCAGACACGGTGTACTGCTAGAAGTGATAATGTTCAAGGCCACTGTCTCACCATGGGTGCCATATCTGAGCCTATGGGTGGGGAGCAGATCCAAAACTGACCAATGAGGTATTCCATCCCACATACGTCATACTCAGTGTAAAGCCGCGGGATCACAAGAGTCTCGACCCTTCCATCTTGGAGCCTTCCCTTCCTTCTTGATCCTGCCTTCTGCTCTGCTCCAGCAATGGCTTAAGTCCAAGCAGAACCCTGCTGGTTCTTCTGCCTCCAATCCTGATCCCCGTGTCCCTGCATCAGCTCTCACTGCTGCTGAGTTTGGTCTGGGACTTTTCCAGTGCCCGGCTCTGCAGAGCCCCTGGTGATGTATACATCATTGGGGGGGGGGGGGGGGGGGGGAGGGGAGCATTTTATATTGGTTTTGTATACATATTTGTACATATTTGTATATATTTCATTATTTTCCTATTTCCAATATTATCCTGTAGTATTAGTTTTATTTTCCAATCCATAAAGTCTCTCTCCCTTATTCTCTTTTCTCTTCCCTTCTGGGGAGGGGAGAGGGATTAATAGAGAGTGTCTGTCCAGGATTTAGTGGCCGGCCCAGCCCTAAACCACGACAGTGACACACACCACTTTTCATCCAAATAACCTAAACCTTTTTTCAAAAGTTTCTAACATTTTCTAACTGAACAGCTCCATGGTTTGCAGGCATGAAATCAGCAAGATTCTCCAAGAATTTTGGTAGAAGTATGGGCTGACTGTTAAGTTTTCTTTCTTTTTCTTCTGCCCATAAACAATATCCACAAATATGTAAGAATGTGGGATTATAATTTAAGAGATATGGTATGATGTATATTTAAGTGTAGGGTAAAACAAGCGTGCAGTTGCAAACAGTCCCCATTTGTAATCACGCCTTTTTTTCATGCATCTCTGAACATCCATGCCACCTTGAACCATCTCCCAAAAGACCAGCCCCATTCTTAAGCATCATTAACATCTTTATTAGTTCTTGCAACTCAGTAGAAACTAAACAATTAAAACTTAAGACACATTCTTCACATCCTACAGGAAGAAATCAGCTTTCCAAAACAGTCTGATAGGGGAGTATCAAGGGAAAATCTCAATATTGTCTTGAAACAGAATTAAATGACTGATGTACTCTAGCTTTTTTCTAAATATCTTACCCACAGCTGCCACTTACTGCATGGTTTGCAGTTCTAACAGTGTTCAATACGAGATGTTGATACAGCTGAATCCCACTAGTTCTGAGGTAACAGGAATACGTGCATTACTGCAGGTCTGACGAACGCATTTCACTTTCTTCTGGGTGTTCATCCTCTCAAAACCAGAGTGCTGAGTACAGCCAAGTGTTGCCTGTGCAGGTGACCGTGGCATTGTGAATCCCCAAGTTTCCACCGGGAATGAAGCAGTAATTATTTGAGAAATCAAAAAGACCTTTTGGCTACCAATTTAAAACAGACTTTTTTTTTTGTCTGATTACTACTGTCAAGAACATTGGCTTCCACTGCAGAAAGGCCAGGGACTTTAGAAAAGCATTAATAAACTAGCACTGGCTGCTCACAGGGTTCCCTCACAGACTCCCTCGAGTCACGTAATACTTGATCAAAAAAAAAAAAAAAGCTTGCCTCAGAGCATAAAATAAAAAGAAGCCCAGCGCAGCTATTAACACATACTAATTAGCATGGCTGACTTCAGAGCTGTGTATCTAACCTTTCAGTCAGGCCTGGATGCCTTTCCAAATGCCTTACCACAGGAAGACTTGCTTGCCTTTTTTCAGTAATTGCTTTGTGCAGTTAAGAACTTGCAAGACTGGATGAGCAGGATAAGCTGCTGCCTTTTGCGATCATCATGGTGCATCTGTAATTAAAACTAATTCACATAGAAACCACGGCTTCATCCAGTGCACTGATTCTCAAGGGAACCATCCCTCCTGGCATACTGGGCCTTGAATCGGAACAACAAATATTCCTACATCCTAAACAAAGAGAGGGGAGTATAAAAGCAGTTCTATAGCAGTTTTACAGCAGTTTATCAAAAAAAAGGTGATTTCAATACAAAAGCAGTTCCCTGGTATTCAAACCTCCCTATTGTCAGAACAAGCTGGAGGGTACAAAAATGAAGAGCCATTGCCAGGAACAACCGGACACGTCAGAAAACTAGAGAAATGTAAAAGTCAAACGGTTCAAATAACTTCATCCAAAATAGAGAGGCTTGAGAGACAAAGATTTAAGACAAGGGTTTCATTTGTCTTTGCAGAACCCAAATCTACCATCGTAAATGCTGAAGAAGTCATTTATCTTTTTTGAGTGGTGTGGGAGAAACAGTGAAGATTTCCTTGAGGTTTTCATAGAATCCCAGCCTGCAAATAAAAAAGGAAGGAAATAATTGCCCTCTTTTTTTTTCACCTCAAGTTAACATGGAAGTCGTTCAACATCCACATCCAGACTAAACCTGACCCATGCTCAGGGCTCCAGCGGTGACCCCACTCTGTGCCTGGGGATGAGCCGACAGTGTTGATTTGGCCTCCCTGAAAGCTGGGTGCCTCAAGAGATATCACAGAATATCACAGAATATTAGGAGTTGGAAGGGACCAAGAAGTCCAACCCCCCTGCCAGAGCAGGATCACCTAGACTAGGTTGCAGGGGAATGCGTCCAGGCGGGTTTTGAATGTCTCCAGAGAAGGAGACTCCACAACCTCTCTGGGCAGCCTGGGCCAGTGCTCCGTAACCCTTACAGTAAAAAAGCTTTTCCTCATGTTCAGATTGAGGCCCCAGGCCTTTACCTTGTATTGAGCTGCTGTTAGCATGAATTCTGACAAGAAGCTTCCTTGCCTGCTTGCCCAAGGCCTCCATGGTGCCTGCAGCCCCCCTGCCTGGGGATCTCCATGCTGGGCATGGCCATCCCACCTGCTCTGGCCTCCCAGCGCCCTCCATGTGACGGCAGAGCTCACCCCACTCGGTGTGCAGGTATCCATGTGTGGGGTGTGAATCCATGCTTTTGGGGGTTGCTGCCTTTCCTAAATAGAAATCCTTCTCGAACATGCTGTCACTACTGAGATTTTGGCTCCTTAATACCCCAAGGAGTCCTTGACCCCAGTGCAGATGGTCAGGGAGGGGTAATCATGTCTAATTTCACCAAACCTCCAAAGCAGGGGAAACCTAACACCACAATAAACTGCACCAGTTCATACCAGCCCGTGGGTTAGTGACGTTTGTGCTTGAGCTCTGGGGTGTCAACCAATTATTCTGCCCAAAGCAGAGCCCTCTCACTTATTGTTTCAATAACCTACAGAAAACAGAGTAAATACTGATGCCTACATCACACCTGCTATGTATTACCTCTTGCATCTTCTGTTTGCTGTGAAACACACACATTGGTAAGAATTACTTTAAATTGAACACTAGAAGAAAGTGCTTGAAAACCTCTGCTGACGTAGGAGTGATGGACTCAGCATCAGTGCTGAATTCCCAGCCACATTTTCTTCTTCTCAACCCTAGCCCTGAAGGTCAGAGTGAGCAGGCACCAATCCCTGTACATCACAAGGAATTAGTGGATTAATCAAACACGGTAGATTTATTATCAGGACATATCCTCTGGCAATAAAAATGCAGTAGCATAGAGAATGGATAAACCAAAAGGATAGGTCCTCAACTGAGAGAAGTTGCTGAAGCTGAACTGACTTGGAGATGCTGAATAAATTACCTCAGATATTTTGTTACCTGGACAAAAACAGAGTAGGTCCCACAGAGGGTCCGTTTCAACTCAGCAGCCACCTTGAGGGAACAGATGATCACCTGCAGCCCACTGAGCGCTATCAGAACTGACAGTAAAATGATGTGCCACTCCACTATGTTAGCAGGTTCGGTGCACTGAAACCACGCAGAGTAATCTGTGAGGTACCTGTTAGAGAAACAGTAATGTGAAGTAAATTAAATGTGGAGGGTCAACTCAATTTAAATAGAATTTGAGAATTCTGAGAGAATATTCTGAGAAAGCACCCATCTCCCCTCACTCTAATCGTATATTCTTTGACCACCACCAGATAAAGGACACCTAGCTAGATGGACCCCCAGGTCTGAGCAGTATGAAGATTCTTACATTTAATCTTTCCTTAAAAGGAGGCAAAAACCTTTCTTGGAGGATGCTGGTGCTCATTCAAGAAGTTGAAAAACCTCACTCGCCAATACAGAGGTCTTGCGTTCAAGAGACTGCCATTCTGTGCAAAACTCAGAGAATTTGTCTGACTGCTGTTTTCTTCCAGAAGAGCGACACTGAGGTTTCTTACCCTCCAGCGGTGTCTCTGAAGATGTAATCCCATCCACCTGCGGAATTGCAGAAGGGGCCTTGGATCAACCCCAAGGTAAAAACGATGCAGCTGTATCCAGAGAAAGCAACTCCAAGTAGGGCTAGCACAATTGAAATAAAACTCTGTAGTAAAAAGAGAAAATTATTACTGCATGGGGACAGCGTCCACAGCAAATGCAGCCATTCAGCCTGCCCTGGGGTTGAATTTCACATTTGATTGTCCCAGTCTTCAAAATTCAGAAAGAAAAATACCAGGTAAAGAATAGTAAGCATACATATAGAAAATACAAGATTAAGACAGAGTTTAATACAGTTTCACAACTCTCAGTTAAATATTCTCTGGAATTTTTTTCTTAAAACTAGAAGTTTTGCAAAACTGTTTCCCAAAATGCTAGAGGAACACAATCACACATTAAACATGTTTGCATCCCAGACAGTGCATACCGAGTCGCTACTGGAAAAAATAACTTCCAAATAATATGAGCAAAGGGGTGAAGCTATTTAGTTGGGGCACTTCACTGAAACGCCCAGGCCTTCTGCGTCCTTGCTTTATTCTACAAGGATTTTTTTTGGCAAGTTTCTTTATTTTTCCTTCATCCTGCTTACGTATCAGCCGGAAGGAGCTGCACCTCCCGTAACCCCGCAGCATCCTCCTCTGCAGAGGAAGTGGCAGCGGCGCAGCGGGAGGAGCAGGGGCAGGAGGCGCACAGGGAAGACCCCAGACTCACCCTGTAGGTTTTGTTGCAGCTCTCGCTCTGGCAGCACCGGTAGAACACGTTGCACTCCAGCGCGATGAGAACCGCGGCCAGCAGAAGAATCTGCAACAGACATCGTCAGGTCAGCGAAACGGCCGCAGGCGTTAAACCGAAGTCTTCGTCGCCTGTGGAAAGCGGGACCTGCATCTGTTTGCTCTGCTGAGGTTTTGGACAGGAAAAGGCAGCTACCGGAGTCGCACCCTGGAACGGGGCCGTTTCCATCGGGCTGACACTGCTCACATCAGTTTCGAAATCACAGCACTACCTCACATGCTGCTGCCCTGTTTGTAACAGCATCGTGTATATGTTTTCACTAGACCGGTAATGATCCTAAAGCTAAAAATGTTTCTAAATCTGAATGTCACTGCTGCAGTTAACATCTTCCCAAATTTCTCTTCAAATTCTCTGCCCAAGTTTTGTCCTCCACTAGAAAAGATTAGGTTTTTTGCTTCAGGAAGAATACACAATTTCAAAAGAATGTCTCATGTTTTAATAACTCTCACAGTTCAGCACCTTCCTAAAAACACCATACTCATGCAGATGAGACCTTTTTAAAACACTGATTGTGTGCATGCAATCTTGTCCCATAACTGCTTTCTGCCCCTAGGCTAGAGTTCTTTATGAACACAGTGAACAGCAGGGGTAGTGGGCAGCTCTGTTACTGCAGATGAACGCATGACATGTAACGGGGAAAATCCTGGTGTCAATCACTGAGACAAGCTTCTGCATTTATCCTAACAACAGTGGCACTTGACGCATTGTGAACTGCCCTGTAAATACTGCACTGCATACAGCTCTTAAACACAGCTACCAGAAGCTTTTTTAATTTTTGCTTCACTTTGTTTTGCTAAAAGAGCTGTAATTCAGCTTCCATAGAGGATTAAATCAACATAGTGCCTGCTTCCATAATACAAGTGTAAATTACACATAAACAAAAAGCCAGGAGAAAAAAATCAACCCTACAAAATCACTTAAATGAAATTAAATAGTATACACAGCATATCATTCAGTATAGTCACATTTTTTTCAGTTTGATCAAAGTTTTCTGCATGCAGCATTTTTGCCAAAGTAATCCATATTCTCTTTAAAAGCACAAGTAGCACAATCACGGTGCTGCACAGTAACCCAGTATGATTTGCAGAAGAATGTAATTCATTAAAAATCCACAGAATCAAGACTTACCATCACACCTGAGAAACAGATCCCTTCAAAATACCACACGTAGTTGGGGAGCTGGTAACTGTCAGCGTGTGCAGTTTTCCCGTTTGGGAAGTACAGCAGGATGTTAACAACGATGCTCCAGAGCGCAAGTGGCACCAGCAGACAACTCAAGCAGCTTCCACATGTTTCCAATGCCATCTCTCAAGAACGTCAGGAGTTTTCTTCTTCTAAGCTAATAGAAGATAACAAGGTTTAAGTATGAAGAGCGCTTTGACCTCCTCAGTTTGATTCAGTCATTTCACACTCGCAGGAAACGGTGACTGGGGTGGGATTGCAGGGACAGGGAAGTGCTCCCCACCAGCAGAACAAGAGATGAACACTGCTGTCTGGACGCGCTGTCCTCGCTAGCCGTCTGTCTTTAAGCAGCAGTTTCCTTTCTAAAAGATCCTCCTTTGTGATCTTCCAGATGAAATGTGTCCAGAAGTCAGACTGCGGAAGGAACTCCAGAAGTCTCATTTCCTGGTGACAGCTCAGAGACGCGCTCCTCCTGAGGACACGGTTATGGTGTGGGTATGGACACAAGGTGGGCTGCACAGACCGACTGCAGATCAGCACTGCTTCTGCCCCAGGTGGGAAGGGGCTGTCAAATGAGAAACGTGTCCTGTCTCTGTGCTGGAGTACACATCACCTCACACCACCGAGAATTAACACCAGGGCTGGGCAGACCGGGGTGGCCACATAAAAGCACCAGGCTGAGTGTCAGCCGCCTTGCAGAGAGTACAAATAACATTGGCTGGAAACTGGCACACTGACATTGCCATACTTTAATTAACTCCTCTTTTCTGCAGCATTATGCTGATCAACTGTTTTACATATTAAATTCTGCTGCTTCTCCAGATATTCTATGCTGCAGCTCCGACCTAAGCAGACATGGCCTCCACAGGACAAAAGGCCTGGCTGCTCTGTGAAATGCCGGCCCTTCGCACTGAGCAAAGCCAAGCCAGGCAGGTTCCCTGTGTCCATGTGTCATCGTTTCCCAAGCCACCGAGCATCCATCCCAGCCCCACAGAGCTGCCCCAGTGCTCACAGCAGACCCAAACCTTCTTTCCACGCCTCTGAGTCATCAGAAAAGCAACTCGAGGATGAGCTCAGGGTTTACTCAATAGGAAAGTCCCAGTCAGAGAACAAAAACATTAGGGCTCACCAACAGTCAGAAGGGTGATTTTAGAAGCAATGATGTCATGGCCTATTTTCCTTCTGTTTCCTCATGAGCTGCTTTAGGCTCTGCACACACAAGGTTTCTCTCCTGATCCCATAAAAGCTGTTTGGGTTGGATGCTGTAGCTGACTCCTTCCTGTCACTGCCAATGAGATCACCCAAGGAAAGGGCCATGGTGGTACTCCTGCAATTACACCATTTTTCCACCCATTCTCTGCTGTGACTCGCCCCTGTTTCCCTCTCCCCTCCTTCTTCTGGGAGGTTTCATTTTTAAACCCCCAGGATTTCATCTGAGTATCTTCCCTTACTTCCTGTTTTACTCCCTAATCTCTATGGACACTTTTCTCAGACCTCCCTCTAATAGGAATTAGTGGCAAACCTCCCTTTGGAGGCTCACGGGCATGGACAGAACTCATCAACACTGTGCCTCACAGATCAGAGAAAACAGCCACATTGTAATTGTGGGTTTTTCTGGGTAAATGGAAGGTGATTTTTTCATGGGAAACAAAAACTTTATTAACCAATATATTGTCCTTTTTGTTCAATTATCTTTCGCCATCTTTCAGGCAACTTCATGATTCTGCACTCCAAAAAGTTCTTGTCTTTTTTTGGTAAAAAAACAATTCGAAAACTATTTGATATCCTCATTGGCAGCAAAGGTTTAAGGCATTTTGTAAAGAACGAAACAAATGGCAGGCTGATGGTGCCAGGTCTGCCAAATATGATGGTAGTGGTAACGCATCCCATCCACGCTGTAACAATTTTTATGAGTGACCAAACTTGTGTGTGGTCTGGTGTTATCATGGAGAAACACAACACCTTTGTGATTCTCCAACTCTGGATGCTTCTGTTTGATGGCATCATTTAATTTATCCGGTTGATGACACTGCACATCCTAATTAATGGTTTGGTTCCTGGGAAGAAATGCAAAATACACAACGCCTTTGAAATCCCACTGGGCTGACAGCATGACCTTCCTTTAGCGAATCTCTGCTTCTGAAGTGCTTCAAGCCGATTCATCGCGCTTGCTCCACGATCGTATTTGTTCGTTGATGTTGTAGATGAGCCATTTGTCATCACTTGTTATCATACATTTTTAAAATGGGTCATTTTCTTCACAATTTGAGAGAATCCCAGATGTCAATGCACTCAGTGAGACAGATTTCTTTGAGCTCATGTGGTACCCAAATACTGAGCTTCCTAACATATCCAAGTTGTTTTAAATGGTTTTCAATGCTCGATTTCAGTATGTTAAGATTATCAGCAACCTGTTGTGTCATTTAACGCTGCTTTGGTTTGATCAATGCCTTTATTTTGTCATTATCAATCCCAACTGGCTTTCCTGAGCATGATGCATCTTTAGCATCAGAACCTCCAGACCAAAACTTAGCAAACCAACTCTGCCATAGTTTTAAGGCATCTTCACCATAGGCATCGCATAACTTTTTATGAGCTTGCACAGCATGTTTTCCTTTTCAGAAGTAATACAGCAAAATATGATGAAAATGTTCCTTTTGATTTTCCATTTTGAAATCGATGCCAAACAATTATTAATGAAATTGTGCACTTTCCTTTTCTAAAGTAAGCTTGGCCTGTCAGCTGTCAGGCTACATAATGAATTTGCAGTTCAAAATGAAGTTAGTCACATCTCAAGACTTGTTAAAAAAAATCCACAATTACTTTTCAGCCAACCCAATAAAAGCAGGCACATCACATCTCCAGGACTGATGTTTTTATTACAAGACTCAAAGAGCATGTAATAGGCTGAAATCTTTTTTTCTAAAAGCAAAGGCCAAAATTACTAACGAGGAGCTAGTATAATAAATAATAATAATAGCTAATATAATCAGATTTGCTGCTACTTCCCATAGCAATCTGTTCTGATTAGAAGAAACTTACTTGGAAAACAACACCTGAAACAGCATTTGTTCTGCACCATGACTTGTTTTGTGTTTAAACTCAGCTCTGCAAATGCCAAATCAAGGTGTGTTTTTGCTGGCACACCACACTGCTGGAACGGGAAGCAACCGTTTTATACCAAGTATTAAGCAAACCTGGCAAGCAGTTTCTCAAACATCTTCCCAAGTGTTGCAAGAACTGCATTCCTGTTGCTGTCAATGTCCATCAGCTGATGCCGAGACCATTACCGAAAAGCTGCGTTTGCTCTGGATGAGTCACTTCTCTGCTAACTGAAATGAATTTAAGCTAAAACAACCACTTCTCCATGATGTAACTGATAATGCTCCCAAAACACTGTCTTATGCATCAGGCAAAGGAATTCAACTTGCCTTTTTAAAAATGACAACATAAACAGTGAGTAGTAACGCTGTGCGTTACTGCTACATGGATCTGAGCTCAAGTTCTCATTCTAAACTTGAGCCTACCCATTCTGTCCACTGGAATTTCTAAAATCGTCTCAGTTCTTTACCTAGTTGTGCATACCAGGAAGACAAGTAACAATTACGTGAGCATAAAGGCAAAAATCTGTAAGTTGCATGGGAATTATACCCTATTCCATCAAGATCCTTTTTTCCCCCTCTTTCTCGCACATCACACTTAATTTAAACTTGCAAATTCTTTCCCAAAGAGTGCTCCTTCACATACAAACACACCCCACTGCACAGCAGCAATGAATTGTGTGTGTGTGTACACATGTGCACACACTTACTCTGCTCCCTCCCACAGCAGGGCAAGACAGGGATAAATGTAACAAGCAGAAACAGCATTGAAGACTGCCCTTACCTACTCCTATGTATTTAGGTATGAATAAACGGTATTGCAGGAAGCATATATCCTGAGACTCTAAACACAGAGTCTTCCCATCCGCAGGTTCTTTTGCTGCTGTGGATGCGTGTGTGCAATTTGGTTTTCACAGTTGTTTTTTTCTTCAGATGAGTATTTGCACCGGGCAGCTTTGGCCGTGAGGACAGCCCCAGATACACACTGACACCCACGGGAAATTCTTTCTCTTCCATAAACAGAAACGAACTGTCTGTTTTCAAAGACAACGTTAACTGCTAGATTTCAAAACTGAGCGATAATGAAAGTCAGCCTCATTTCTTTGAAATAAACAGCATGTCACATTTTGTTTTTCACTTTAAAAATGCCATTGCCAGTGGCACACTGACCTTGCCCGCAATGCTGTTGACAGCATACCATTCAGATTTATTTCACCTTGTGATACATTCACTGTAATATTCACAAAAAATGCTGCTTTAGAGGTCCTAGCAGAGGATCTTAGAGCACTGCCTCCAGGCTGCTTACTGGTGAAGTCAGATATTTCAGATTAATCCATCATTGCTGAGCCTGCACTGTATTTCCTGAACACTGCTGCGCCCGGGGGCCTGCTGCTGAGGTAGGAAACGGAACCCAGACCCACATTTTGTTCCCTCTCAGGACCCCAAGCAGCCAGGAGGTGACCGCTCTCCCGCAGAGCAGCGGAAGGGACGCAGAGCGGTGCCTCATCCGCACGGGAACCCCGCTCCGTCCTTGGGGCCGCCACCAGCAACAAGCGGCGAGCCCAGAGCCGGGGTTGAGGCAGCGGATCGCAGCTGCACCCGCGGCCGCTGAACCCTCGCACCTCGGCTGGGGCGCAGGGACCGACACCAAACCGCCCAGGGGCTCCGCTCCGCCAGGGTCTGCCCTGGCCGTTCCACGTCCGCCTTCTCACGCCACCGCTGCCCTTCACCCTGAGCAGGAGCGCGCTGCTCCGGCGCGGGCAGGGAAAGAACCACTGACACCTGCTGGGTATTTTTAATACAAATCTTTATTTGTGAAATACAGGAGAAGCTCACAAAAATCTTGAAGAGGTGAAGTGCATGGATCTGCCCTCAACCATCCATATTTTGCTGCTGCTTTGTTTTTGCTCCAGCTGAGTATTAATTTATATCCAGGCCAGAATACATTGGGTTTGTATTCAGTCCAACATCAGAATGAGAGTGCAACTTTACTGGGAAAGCAGCATAAAGTACAACAAAGTACAGAGCTGTTGTGTCAGTAGAAAGGTGGGAGGGGAAGGCATCTTTAATGACGTGTTCAGGCAGTTGCCTATAATCAGGTGAAATGAACCAAAGAAATTTGAGATTTTGCCTTTAGATACAGGCAGGATAGTGGAAAACTCGCGTATGGCTTCAACAGCAAAGGCTGGCCCCAAGTCAGTTGGCAACACCACAACAACAGTCTGACAACAAACTGTGCATTTTAGTAAGCGTGGAGTATAAAAAAACCACACAATACTCAACATCACACACATGCACCGACGTCAACACATTGCCAGGTTTCTAGCAAACGTATGTCTGTGGGGGAAACAAGAAGAAACAAACACATATTAAAGGGAAGAAGACTAATATTATATTGTATCCAGCTATAATACCTAAAATTAACCTGACCACATTTAGACAGCCATAGCATGGCTCTATCACACTGCAGTTACAGCACAGGAGTGAGAAGACAGTGACAGCTTTGGAAGAGCCCCAACATTCAACCCTGTCAATTAAAACATGAAACACGTTCTTAGCCATAATGTGCATGCGTGTGATATAAATCATATCTGGTCCATACCTTAAGCCACTGCAATTCCAACACTACCACTACGATACTGATTTTAACAACATGCTCAAACTGTTTAACAAGACTAAAGAAACGTGGAGGATATTTCACTTCCTCACTCAAAAAAACCCACCACCTTCAAAAAACCCTTCATACCTGTCTACAGGTTTTGTTTGCTATGTGCAATTTAATTTCTTCTCTTATCCTACTTTTACTAATCGAGGCCAGGATGCTGCAGGTCTCATTACATACAGCATTTTCTCAGTAGTCTATCAGCTGCTGTGAGCAAAATACGAGGCTAAAGCAATGCAGTTGGAACGAGCAGCCTACCAAAAGAGCACACCACGCTCTGCAACCACAGCATGGCTGTGGCAAAGACCACCGGCACCAGGAGAGTTGTATTTCAGGTGTATCGCCTATACAGTGCTGATCATCACATGTGCCATAGCAGGGAAGAAAGCCTCCCAGTTTCCACGCAGACTAACTTCACCGTGACAGCTGAAGAGTCAGCTGAAAGCATGTGGTCAATGCTACATGAAAAAGCTAAACACAACAGGGCTATATATAAGAAAAAAACAACTGTACACTGAATTGCTGCTGAAGAATACCTAAAAAATAGCTGCTGAGTAGGACTCCACAGTGCCATCAGAAACGACAGCGTTTCACGTTCCCCAAGGAGCGCGGGTGCCTTACCTCCTCGTGCCGGCAGCACAGCCCGCACAGCCCGCCCAGAAGGCCATTGACGACCTGCACAAAGCACAGGATGAACTCGATCGCTCCCAGGACAAGGAGGATGGAAAAGAGGGTGACGTTCCACTGCACGATGTTTTGGGGTTCCTGACATTCAGACCACTTGTTATACTCAAACAAGTACCTGTACATGCAATTAAAAACATATTAACGTTGTGACAGAGCAGGATGCTTACCATACACTAGAACCAAATTACACCCAGCCCGTAACTGCATCCAGGACAATCACTCTAAGTGATTAGGGATAATTAAGAGCTTCTGGCTCTCCTCACCTTGCAGTGTATAAAGATTCTTCTAAACCTTTTCTAGTTTCATTTACAAAGGTTCTGTGGCGTTGTCACAAATGAACGGATTACACCAGTTTGCACTGATGCAAAGCAACTTCAGAAGCAAGCCTCACAGAACAGATTCTTACACAAATCAAAAGACAAAATTTTGTAACAACTGCTATTCATAGTTTGTAAATCTCTCATGTCCTAAAACTTTATGCTTTGTTAGAAATGTTCAAAGATATGAACAGTTTGTGGCATATAGATATTATTATATTATATATGTATGTTCAGATCCCTTTCTGTAGGACAGCGGTTTTACATTGCTGTGGTTTTAAACTATAACAGGATGGGTAACTGATGCCATCTCTTTAGTTCTTAGAGAGTGAGAGGCATAAACTTATGAATGGATCTTGGTATGCGGTTACTGGATATTGCTGAAAGGGACTGGAATAAAGCCTATATGTACATGGGGGAAGATACAGCATCCTCACGGACAGACAACTTACCCTCCAGAGGAGTCAGTGAAAGGATAGGCCCAGTTTCTCTCTAGGTGAGTAAAGCAATACGGTCCATGAGACAAGCCCAGTGCCGAAATGATGACACAGTACCCAGAACCAAGGATCCCAATGAAGGCCGCCAGAACAGAGGACAGCATCTGTACAGCAAACACAGACATGAACGTTCAAGACAGCCACCATGGTCTCAGGGGTCTCTGGGGCTGAGCACAAAGGCTCCTTACCGCACAGCTCTTCCCGCAGTGCTCGTGGCCAAAGCACCCGCAGCAGTTGTCATCGTGGAGCCCAATGAATACCACAGCCGGGACGAGGACCTGGGGACAGAGCAAACAGACCACACATCACACTGCCCCTGCTGCTGCACAGACAGAACACAGCCCTTCACATTCATTCACTGCTTCTAGATTATCCAGTTTTGCTCTTATAGATTATCCAGTTTTGGTCCTATGTAACACTCTGGGCATCTCACTACTGATACCAGAAGTGCCAGCACAGGTATATTTCTATTTCTGTTTTATGTATACACAGCACTGAAGTGCATGAAGAGCCCATCGATAAAGAGTCTGTTGTGGTATTGCTGCAATTTGAAGTACTCCAACTTCACAAGTTTTTGTTCACTTTAAAGGCTGTATCCTGCAAATAAAATGCTTTGCAAAAAAAAAAAAAAAAAAAGAAAAAAAGCATTCACTTTCTGCTCTGTGAAAACTACAAGGTAAGTATCTCATAACTATTTTGCTAAAGAAAAAACTACTACCAGGAGATTAGTTACTGAAGAGTAGTCACCACTGCTGGTGTGGCAAACCAGTCTGACCACAGTAGAAAGTCTAGGAATATGTTGCCCAATTCAGGCAAACAGCTCATTACAGACATCCAGCCTTTTCTAGTGACAGACACGTGAAGTAACAAAGCAGCGGCTGTCTGTAAGAAACAGAAATCATCCATATGGCAGAGCTTTTAACAGAAAATCAATAAGAGGCAGAGTTGATTAAACAGAGTATCCTCCCCACCAGCACTAACTGGACTTAATAATAGTTTGCACTTAGACATTCTACACCTAGGAGTACTTTGGAAAACCATAAAGAGCAAGCAGAGTGTTATCTGCAAACTGCACAGATTTACTTAACAAGGCACTACAATAAGAACTGCCCATCTGAGCAGTCACGCACTCCTCAGCCCTGCTCACACCCACGGCTGAGCCCCAGCGCTGCGGTTTCTGAGTGCGTTCCAGGAGCATTCACACCAATTGCACCCACGTTATTCCACGAGTGAACCCCAGCCGGGCTTCCAGCGGGGCTGTGCCACAGCTGTGCCATGGCTGTAACATGGCTGTGTGTGCCCCTCCAGATCGAGGGCCCCAGCATGCAATCCCTTTCAACCTGTGATGAGCAGACACCTTGAGATCTGTAGCCTATTTCTAAGAGGACTTTTAAAAGCAAATGAGAAAGGAATTCTGAGCTCAAGGAACTTAAATATGCTACAGTGTGGTCCACAAAATTGAGAAGGTAGAAAATAGCTTCACATTAACAATGTCTTATTGTGAACGTCCTCAGTTCTTCATCCTTTGCTGCTACTCAGATGCAAAGCTTTGATAGCTGCCACTCGAGTCCTCCAAATAAAGAGCTAAGGCACAGAAATAACTGTCAACATCTCAGATAACAGAAATGATGGAATTGTAACTAAATGCTAGCTATCTAAGTGAATAGTTCAATGATATAACAAACATGTAAGATTTAACCGTTTATGCAAACTGTGACCTACAGAGAGGTTTGCTGCCAGTTTTGCATCTGGATCCTGTGACCTAGACCCAATGATTTTTTCAGCTCTTCAGTGACAAAATGCTGCAAATAAGATAACCAATAGCAACTAATAATACCTGTGGGTAATGTAGCTAATTTCTTTTGAAACAACTGCAGAGATTCCTGCTGACAAGATATTTGATCAGAAAGTTAGTGGTAGGAGAGGTAAAGAAACAGCTGTACCAAGTAGCTCCAAAATGACCTTGACAGAAGCCACGAGCTCATTACTTACCAGAAAGCCTCCGCCTAGAATGCCATGAAGGCACTCCACGTATTTGCCGAGATGATGCTCTGAAGCAAATCTTGTTTCGCCGTTGGGAAAATAAAGTAAAATGTTGGCCACGATGCAAAGCGAAGCAAGAATGAGCAACTTGTAGCCTATACATCTAGCACGCCCTCCAAAACACATGTCTTCGGCTTTCCAAACCCTTCTCTCACCTGTCCAATCCAACCTATCTCATACCTGTGCACACCTAAAAGGAGATCAGTCTTTACTGTCACCTCCTTAAATACTGAGGGTTACCCACGCACCTGATGACATGCACACCCCTTCGTCACCCCAACAGGGATGGCACAACACCACCACCCTTTTTAAATGCATTAATTGTGACAGACCAAACGCAATCAAGGAAACACTGAACGTGAGGTGATTTCACTCCAACGTATGATGCTTGGAATGGTCACTAGCAGACACGATCAGACACGAACAACAGGCTCCAACCACAACACAGGAACTGCCAGGGACTGAAGGAAAAAGGGGTTGCTTCCTTTGTCAGAAGCAGCTTGGACTTTGAGGTTTACAGGCTGATTCAGAGCAACCTGAAGCTGATTTCAGCTGTATTGAGTCAGAGTTTTGAGCATAAATAGAACAAGGTCTGCAGCAATGAGGAGTATGTAGAGCAGCCTCTGGCTTTGCCACCCTGTTGATGGAATAAGAGCAAACCTCATCAGGAGGTTGGGAAACAAATAAAATGAACACATAGGCTTCTAAGGAGTGTCCTCGTTCTTGCCATTACAAGAAAAGCTGAATTTAGATTAACAGCCATTTGTTAAAGCTAAACCAAGCAAACACTGGTGAAAAATACTGCTTCAAAAAGAGGATTATAAAGTACAGTCCCTGTAGTGAATTGTCATTTATAGAAACAAAACCGAAAACCCACAAACAAAGAGAAATGTATTCTGTCAGGGGTTTCCAAACTGTGACATGTACCAGCAACATTAATTTGCATAGTACATGGAGATACAAAGGGATCTGGAAAACTTAAGATCTACCTTCTCTCTCTGCCCTCCTGCAGCTTTTGCTGAAATGGCCACAAGCTTTCTTCTTCCCATGCACCCGGCTCAACACAGAGGCACGAGCTGGGAGCCCACTGCCACCACGCGATAGAAGGTAACCAAGAAATGCCCAAGCTAGATTTGGGAGCTGCTGCTGCCATCATCATCACATGGTGCAATTCTCATTGCAAAAACAGTAGCTAAACAAACCAAGTTTGGTAATGTACAGGATATTAGAAGACTATAGTGGGACTTTTTCAGTTATTCAGGGTGAAAAATACTCATTCAGTGCTTTTTTTGGTTGGTTGGGGCGGATCAGTTGTTTTGGGTTTTTTTTAACAGCTAGATAACACTGTAAAGAGAAGTGCAATTCAAACCCATGGTGTTTGATTTGCGATGTGAGCAACACTTCAGCTGAGAGCGCACAGAAAGCGCGGGGTGAGAGTGGCCTTTGCAGGTGTGGTTGTGCCAAGTCTCCTCCGGGTATTGTAGCTGCTGACCTTGGAGACTTCCTTCGGTGTGAGAAATATCCTCCAATTGTAGCAGCGTGGGCTGACCATCATTGTGCCTCCACCTTTGGTGACTCAAACAAGCACAAACACCATCCTGCAAGCTTCCTCTGCTGAAGCAGATGGTGCACAACCGAAAACTCCCTTTATTGTGTTATCCTAAAAAACCAAACCACTCCCCCCAAGAAACACCACTCAACACCTCCCCCTTAACTCCTGCACCACACACATGGCCGCTGGGAAGCGGATGTAAAATCCCTTCTATTTATAACCTGTATAATTGCTTTTTAAACACTTGATCCGAAATGAAATGTCACATAATGAGGAACATGCTATATTGAAAGCAAATTCTGTACGTTATCAAGCATGCAGGGCACCGCGTAGGCACTGCAGTCCACAGTCACTACCAAACCCTGCCCCAAACAGTACAGTCGTAGTTCAGATCACACTCCTATAGAATCATATAGGTTACAAAAATCTTGCACTTGTTTACTTCTCATGCCTGTTTGCTTCATAAATCTGAATTTTTCCTGCTCAGCAAAGTGAGCAGCGGTGGATTTGTGGAACACATCATGGGCACGTTGAGTTTTAAACAATGAAACTGGCCCACACGGGAGGAGCTCAACAGCAGGGCCCAACCTGCAGCTTGGATACGCTCCAGCACCACGGGATAGCAGGGCTTCCACCAGCGTGGAACCAGAACTGGGTGTCAAGGCTTTCAGACAAGAATCACAGTGTTTGCAGTTAAAGAGGTTCAGAAATTGCTTACTCACTCACAGGTGCTTCCCCACGGCCCATATTCTCTCTCAGAGGACTATTCCTGTGGCTCTGATGCCTGTCCTGGACCAAGAACCCATATTAAAAGGCAATCGACCACCCAGTGTTGCTAGAGACAATAAAAGCCTGATCCTAGGCCGCAGATCTGGTCCTGAGCTCTGGCCGAGGAGCACCGACCGCAGCATGGTACGGGATGGATGAGACCCTCACAAGGATGGCAGAGCCCTCGTGACAGCACGCCCAGAGGCCCATCGGGCAGGGCCACTGCAAAAGGCTCCCACGTTCCCTGTGGCAGAAAGGGTGGTTGTAACCAACTGCAGCTGCTGGCTTCATCCCCAAAACATCAGCTCTGCAGGATGATGGTTGTCAGCAGAACAGTGCTACACAGGGCAGGACGCTGACCCTCCGTGCCACCAAAGTGGCTAAAAGTAGGTGCCTTGTCCAATTACTGAGGTGTCCAATACCAACTCTAATTTCACGTGGGGTCTGAGGATCCAGCAGCCCCCCTATGAAAAAAAACCAACCACCTCAGTTGTCATCATTGCTCTGGCTCTTCTGTTGCAGCAGGACAGAGGCCTGCTTTTTTTTTTTTCTTCACAAAATAAAGATGTTAGAGAGAAACTAATGTTTCCTGATGAAAAAAGTGGGAGACCTCATAAACTGCAGTAGAGTTCTCTACGTTCAAGCTCTGAAAAGCTGAGCATTCTCCATCTTTCTGTACCTGCTCCCCAGGCAGCACGACAGCAGTCACAAAAATTACTTTCCCCAGCTCAGTGGTGTATTGGTAATGCTGTATTTTTGGACAAGTCCTAACTTTACCTATTACAGAGGGAAGCAGTTTATCAAAGACTGTCAAAGTTACCACAACTTGCAAAGTTACCAAATAATTGCATAGAGGGGAAAAAACCCCAAAACCCACAAAACCACAGAATTTTATTGAGAGAAAGAAAACTGTGAAGTATCGCATTTCTCCTACAAAAGCAAATTACTTCAACTACAACCAGCACCTCCGCCCTAAACCAGATTCCCAAGTGATTCATCACAATCAACAGGAGGAACTGAGTTGCACCAGCACAGAGAAGTGCCACACAAAAAAGGTGATCTCTGGGCTCCAGCAACCCATTCCCATACCCACGGGATCCTGGGAACACCCACACCCTCCAGAGAGGAAGTCAAGGGGGGTATCTGCAACGCAGACAGGGGCAGTCAGGGCCAGGCCTCCCTGTCGCAGTCGGTGCTGGCAGGGTCACACGGACGAGGCTCGGGTCCCCTGACTGCACCCAGGGCACTGGTGGCACCGCAGCCGCCAGGACCCCCACCCTGAGGACACCCCAGACCCGACCAGCTGCATTCGCCCATGGAAATGAGATCTTTACAGCTCAGCCATCCCAAATCCCCAGCGTTAATCTTGCTAATCCTCCCTGAACTGAATGTTGCCTTTTTTTTTATTTTACTGTTTTAGCACCCAAAGAGTTTCTCATTCCTTATAGCCAGACAGAGGATGAAACATTTGCAACAAATATTTCTGTCATCAATGTTTTCTGAGCAATCTCCTGATTTCAATTAAAGGTGCCAGGAAGATGGAAAGAAAGATGCCACTCTGCTGAAAAACATCATGTGTTTCTTCCTAATAGTTTCTCCTAATGCTCCAAATGGTCAGTCTCACTGCTCTACACTGCCTTACAGCCAGCCCTAGACATGTTTGCTCAAAGACACAATAGCGAGAATTGACAGACAAATGTCTTCCAGTTGTCTTGAAAACAAGATAAAGAAAAAAACCAAAAAGCTTTGAGGCAAATAATTTTGTTTTACATTACAAAAACTGGTCAGATGTGAATGAAGGGGGCTTTACTACTATCACTGCCATTTGGACACCCTACACCACAACTTCTACCAGAGTGTTTCTCATTATAACCATTTTTTGCAAAACCTCTGGTCACACCCAGCACTGGCAGAAGGTCCCTGGGAGGGCAGCACCGTGCCTGGGGACCAGCAGGGCCTGGTGACAGCACAGCGTCTGCAGATGGGACATGGCTGGGAAAGAACAGCATGGGCTGCACAGATGGGTCTGACACACCGGGCAGCAATGCACAGCATCGACACAGGTCACAGATCACACACGCACCCCGTACCAGCGGTTCTCATCTGCTCCCCCGCTGCTCAGCAGGTAGCAGGAGGCAAACACACAGTGTGAACACGCAGTCATCTCTGAGCTGAGTCCAGGGCAGCCTCATGGCCTCCAGAGCTCCCAGTGACATGAGGAGCACCCATGGCTTCCCTTTGATCCCAAGGAGAAACACCCATCCATGCCACCACCCACTGCTCAGCGGCAGTGGTGCATTGCTCATGCTTTCCACAAAAACTCTGTGCTGCAGCTGTAATTCCTCAGGAGGCCACCTCACCAGGCCATGCCAGGACACAGACCCCACCACGGCAGAGGAACCCGCTCTCCTCAAGTCCCTGGTGTCTACGGTCTCCTGGACACAGCCAGAGTGGAGTTTCCTTTGTTAATTACATGGCAGCTCCTCGGATGAACTAATGAGCTGGGATGAACTAATGAGCTACCTCTGAGGAGGAGCAACGTGCCGCTGCCATCAGCCGTATCTCTGAAGACAAAAGCAGTCACTCACACAGCTGTAAGAGGCACATGGGCTCGCTGGCTCTGCCACTGCCGAGACACAAAACCCATCTGAGCCACAGAAGAAGTCAGCTTGGAGCGAGCGCTCGTACCTTTATGTAACAACACACATTGACACACATAGAGAAGATCTAATTTATTAGTAATAATGCTGACCTAAGAAGGAGTCAGCACTGAAAACAACTAAAGTAGTTTTGACACTTACTCAAT